AAACTAGACATTCTAGTTTACAGTAATCCTTATTGTGGACTTATACCAATCACAGGCGTAAACAGCTATCATAATACCTTGTTCATATTGTTATTTATTAGCAGTAGCGGCGATAGTTCATTTATCTAATTTACTATCAAAATATTAATTAAATTATATTTTTCTAGAAATGGTAAGTATTGGAACAGTTACTAAACGAACTGAAATGAAAACACATTCCTACATATCCAAGTTATTCATCAATGAAAATTAGAAAATCATTGACAGAAATATTGATTACCTATTTTGCTCGAGGTTTTATACCATTTTATCATGACGAAATGTGTTGTTATTAAATATACAACAGCTTTATTTGAAATCAATAGTATAATCCCAGTAGATTTAACACAGCTAGAAGAACAAGTATACATCATAGACATTTCAATGTTCATTTTAGTTATATATAATTAAAATAGCACCGTTTTTAATTAAAAAAATAACTATCATAACAGGTAAGATGATATATATTAACAGAAATTTACATAACGTTGTTTATTGTAACTGAAAATAAGGTGAAAGTTTTGATTTTTGACAAAAATGGTAAATAAACATTGAATGATCAAGAACTTACAAAATAAATAGACGTTTTTCCGAGAGATAGCTTTTACTTTACAGTGAAAGTCATCAAAATACATTAAAATGAGGGCTACTGAATGTAGCAGTTGGAGGTAATTAACCTTGGACCCGGATTTCATGCTATTTGGCACTCGTCAGCAAGGTGAAGTTGTAATCTTGATGGAAGTGGTACTTCCTGACGGATTCATTCCCGTGTCACCCAGTTTCACAGTCAGAGATGTTACCGTTGGGATATCTGGGCAGCGATGTGCACTCAATGTTGAGTCACCTAGACTAGTGGCCACATTGCAACTTATTCGGTAGCATTTGATCTGCTACTTATTTTTACATTGGATTTATAAATTGTAATATAAACAGTTAAGACTATCTACTAGTCATTAGTAAAACTTAAATGACTTGAAAAGCATTTATTAGTCATAAACGTAAGTTTATGTTTCACGGACGATTATATTTTAGTCTACTTGCCAATCCACTTGTTAATGATTTGTAATCTTAACCGATTTATTTAAAACAATCGATGTTCGACTAAAAATAAGAGATTACCAGTATCACCATAAAACCGAGTGACAGTATGTTACACATCATTATTAAACCCAACATTGATTTATCAATCAACACCACATAGATCCTTAATGAAATCTGTTTATAACCCTGTGAGGATTTGTCTACATATTGGGAACCACTGTTTACTGTTATAATTATTATTAGATGAAAATGTATGTTCTGAGGATTCAAGTGACTGATAATTTGTTTGACGAACTATTCCAAAAATCTTTACCAAATAGATATCTAAATGTTGAAACAAATTTTCTGAATATATACATGAAATATTAATAATGATATTTCTGTTAAAAAGTTCAACTAAATTAATATAATTTGTCCAAGTCTCACGTAAATAAAGAAGGAGGAAAATACACGTCAGAATGTAGTCAACAACTATGAATCATTAAATAAGAACTTTCATCTTAATTTGATCGAATAGTTTCACAGTATTTGGGCGCCGAATTACTGTGAGATATTAAAGAGGAAGAATGTATTTATAAAATCTCAGCGAATGAATTTTGTAGTAAATCCAACGTTTCGCCTGGCAATCTGGTCCAAGCCTTTTCAGAAATGAATATTTCCTTGAGAAAGCTTGAACCGGATTGCCAGGCGAAACGTTGGATTTACTTCAAACTTCATTCGCTGAGATTTTATAAATACATTCTTCCTCTTTAATATTAATCATTAATTTGGGATTCACTTTAATATTACCCGTTACGATTTTATTAAGAGTTTTTGAAGTAATAGGAATGTTTGTTTAATATAAATATCAGAGGAAATCAGAAATGAATAAGTAATCCCACTTTTTCAATCTTAATCCATTTCAAATTACAACTAGTTATGGATAGGTTTATGTTAGAGTAAATTTAATCCATATTTTACAACAGGAATTTGTAAAGAAAAATAACAAGAGAAAATATGAACTACGAATACTTCTAAATTTAACGGTAAAGGTAACGTTTCATATGGATTAAAATACATAATAAATCAAAATGATATGACCGGTACCATAATGTTTGGACTATATTACTAATCTACGTATTATAAGCTTTTACTGTTGACAATTTCTGATCTTACGGAAGAAAAACCTCAGTCAACACTTTCTTCATTAATCTTGAAATATTTTCAGTAATATCGTGATGAGCCACAATTCAAATGAACAATTCACCTTATTATTTTAAATATAGGATCAGATATATGATAGACATAAAACTACTATTAAAAAGTATTTGTTGCTTTTCCTGATTTCCGGTTGTTTTTTTTGTACAAGTTAAAATCATTTTTGTCTGAAATTAAAAGAAAATAAACTGTGGAGTAAACATGTTTAAAACTAGAGTAAAGAGATTTATCATATACCATGAGTCAGATGCCAACTTCATTCAAATATCAACTGTTTCTGAAAGCGATATCTTTTTCTTCTTTACTTTTAACATTGTTTTAATCTCCTCATTGATATTTAGGACTACAATTGATCGGTCTCTTATTGGCACATGTACATCCTGTGCGTATTGACGGGATGTTGCCTTAGATCGCGAGCAATATAAGCAGAGATGGGTGGTGAATAGCAGTGGAATGCAGTACTCTCGTCTCATCTTATTTGTGACACGTAAGTTTGACGTGCCTGTTTCCCAAAGTTGACGTTCACTCTGAGATCCGAACACAAAGCTTGGATGAAAAAATACATAAAAAATCATTATATCAGTAAAATGATCCTGATTACTGGACATGGTTTGATTTAAAGTAAGAGCAAATCTTATCAACAAAATTTATGATAGTATTATAAGTATTTGATTGTCTACCTTTATTCTAATTTTAACGACTATATTTTTCGTAATAGAACGGAAAATAGTATGTTTAAACCTGACAAAATACCATGTATCTTACTCAAAATATGCTTGTTATTTTGAATATTTCTTTGTTTACCAAAAATTTTATTATACATTACTAATAACATTATTATTATTATCATCCGTATTTAGGAAATGAAACATCTTGAAGTAAACTGGAGTCCAATTTAATGAAATTAGATTTATTTCTATATTATACTGTAAGAAATGATCTCATATACAGTTTGGTTCCACTAATTTTTTTTAAGTTCGTCTTGTGTTGAACAGATCGGATATTCGTTTGTGACCATGTAAATTTCTCCCGACTTATTGATAGTCATATACTCAGTAGTTAACATCCTTATGCCCCTGTGATTAATAAGATTTATCCAACCAGGAGTTAGCAGTTCACATGTGACATTGAATGAACATCAAAATATAGAGTATAGTTGTAAGTGCAAGCTGCTAAATGTTGTCTAAGTGATTGATTTATCGTGAAGATGTTGGTGTGTATATCTCAAACTAAAACTAGGCTGAAATGATTTTGTTTTCATTAGGTTTGTATCTGGCATAAATGTTTTTGGTCTATATAGAACGTATCCACAAATTATTTTACTAGAGAACAGATACTGGTTTCAAATAGTCGAGGACTTCTTGTTCAGCACAAAAAAATAGTTATCATAAAAATAGTTTGCACGAATTTAACGTGGGATGAAATTCGGTAATTTTCTCAAGAGACATCTCATAAACTCTGAATGAATACTTTTCAAAGGTTGACAATAATCATAATTATTAGCAGAGATGGACGATAACTTAAGGTAATATGAAGGTAATCCACACCGGACGAACATAAACCAATAAGAGACTGATCAGTTGCAATCCTATATATCAGTGAGAAGATTCAAACGACCAATACAAAAAATGAATAAAGTTAATTGTCACATAAAGTTGAATAGATCTGTCTGTTAGAAAGTTGCCTTCAAAATGGACAGTCGGATATTATAGCCTGTAGTGCTGAGCGGTGTGTATATTTTCGTACTAATTTGTACTGATTTCGTCAAAATATATGCATCTTTTAGAGATCATTTTTGTTTGAAAAATGTATCATTATTGATAAAAGTATTTTAAGACATTTCTGATTGGTAATGTTATGATATACTAACTATAGATAGTATACAGTTTTATGTGTGAGCGTTGATAATATTCAACAGCATTTTTTCAGTAAATTCGGCACTATTCTACTCAACGGTAATTTTAACACTATTTTATATTAACTTTCAGAAGTCAGCTGTAACTTATTATTTAAAATACCTTTTAAAGATTGTAATAAATAGTCCCGGCGTTAGTAAATTTTAAACAAATAAATGGACAAAAGTTTTACAAACTTCGTACAAGCTAAACGGTTATTTCATTTTAGTGAGAAAGATATATAACAATAAGTATAAATAACTGGAGCAGTATATTGTTTGTTTCAGAGGAAATGAAACTCTAACGTGGATGCACACTGATGAGGAATCCCAAAATAGGACGAAACGGCCGTCCAGTGCTTCCAGGTTTTCAATGGTGGCCTAACATCAATCGGTTCATGATCTCAATCAAAACTTAACAATCTCCACAACCCCTATACTGAAACTCTATTTGTTTGATTTGTGATAAAAAAGCTGGAGACTCGTTTATTGAAATAAACATCTATGCCATCAATAGTAAATAAAGCTTAAAGCAATATATAAAACTGTTGTAATAACGCTAATATGTGTTGATTTTTGGTTACGATAGAAAATATTCAATAAGTGATATGTTAATTAATCTCTTTCCTACAAACTTTCTTTTGATTGGTTACCTGAATTATATGAATCCCTCATATTTGGTTTAAAGCATCGTCCAACCAATCACAACAAAGCAAATAATACAACTGTTTAAATGTAATCATATACTGTTCAAAGTAAATAAACAACAAGTACATTATAAGTAATCCAAATATGTAAATTATCGGATCCAAATATAAAGGATTTAATTATGAATTCTATGATTTCTAATGAAACGTGGAATTCATCTCTTTGGAATCAATCACAAATTTTATCATCATTATCATCATTCCCATCATCGTCATCATCATCATCATCTTTTTTAGTAGTCACACAAGTTGATGTTACAGATTTACAAGTTTATGTAATACTTAAGCATTATTTACCAATTCCAATATTTATTGTTAGTATATTATGCATTTTAGTCACACTGATTGCAGTTACACAACGTGGTTTATGGCGAACTACAGTTACATATATTATTGTATTAGCTATTGTTGATTTATTCACTTTAATATCATTATGTATACTTTCTATGGATTTTTTTATTATACCAGCTTTACCTGAAGGATTATTTACAAGAGTTTATTTTCTAGTTGAAACAATATTGGGTGAATTAGTTGATACATTATTATTAATATCAAATTGGTTAACCGTACTTATTGCTACTGAACGTTATCTTGCTGTATGTCATCCATTAAAAGTACGTTTTATCGACTGTAAATATCGACGTATTTTTATTATACTTGTTATTTTCTTTAGTGTATTAATCAAACTACCCGGATTTATTATATTAGGATTCGCAAAAGAGATTAATTCATCATATACTATTATAATATTGAGAAAGATTTATATCTGGATAGTACAAATTTTATTATTTTTAATAATTCCATTTAGTATATTGACATTTGTCAATGTACGTCTAATACAAACTGTACGTAATTCATTACAGTTAATTAATCAACGATGTAAAAAAACAAATAAAGAATCCGTTTTATCTTCAAATTCTACTCAAAGTGACACTGGAATAAGGCGTAGAATTACATTATGTTATCCATATTTATCTTGTTGTATTTCATCTACTTCAAATAATATTTATTCATTTCATCAATGTTCCAATTCATTTTATAAAATATTTTGTTGTAATTGTTTTAATTTATCAACGAAACCGGTAAATAATTGTCAACTTCAACATAATCAACAACAATCAAATCAATCAAAGAGAATTTCAAAGAAAAATGAATTAGTTCAAGTGAATGATTCATCACCAGTAACAAGTCCAACAAGTTTAACAGCAAGTGAACCTACAGGTGCTCAATTAGGACGTACTCAAAGAGAAGAGAAAAAGATTACAATTACATTAATTTGTTTAATTGTAACATTTTTTATTTGTCAAGGTCCATTTGTATTAACAACTGTTATTATGCGTTTTAGTAGTACAGGATTTTATTTATCTGATACAAATAAAATTATTAATAACACTTTATTATTATGTAATACATTTACAGATCAAAATCATATTGAAACAATAACACCAAATAAACCATTTGGTTTTGTAGATTATATAAATCCTATATCTGTGATTGCATTAGCTTTAAAAAGTGATTTATCATTTTTCTTTTATTGTTGGTTTTGTGATCGATTTTATTAGCATTGAAAAAATAACACATAATAAATGTTGGCCAATATTGAAAAGACACAATTTTCACAGTACTCATCATCATCATCAACATCATCATCGTCATCGGCATCTTCATCATTATCATCAAAAATGTAGTAGTCATCCACATTTACAAAAATTAACTAAATCTCATCAAAATGAACAAAAAAATATTATTGAATTAAATATGCCATCAAGTGGTAGCCTACCAGCTGAATATCGATTACCACATCATCATTATAAGATGGTGGTGAATATTATCAATATCGTATACCTGTTGATATGGTTACTAATCAGCATAAAATTATAAAATATAAAAAACCTGCACCTTTACCATTTAATTTATCTAAACATAATAAAATGAAAAGAAATCTGTAATTAATTTACCAATGAATGTAAAAATTTCATGGTCATCTCCAAGTTGTTCAGATAATTCATATAAATGTTCATCATCACCTAAAAAGAAAGGTTCTTCTTCAATTGGTTGTTCAAAAAAATAAATTAAATTTTGTAAATAATATAAAAATAAACAAATCGATAAAATGATAATTGTTGTGATTGATTGAGTTTTTCCATGTTTATTTTTAATTTATATATATAATATATGTACATACTTATTTATGATCATAAGATGTTTATAAAATGTCTTTTATTTATGACTTGTAATGCCGTAACGTATTGTTAACGATATTTATTGTGGATGAATCGATTACTGAACATGACTTCATACTGTTGATCTTGTGAAGAGATTATGATTCATAAGTTACTTGACACATTTGTTCAGACTGTATTGTGTTGATATATGAAGCTTTTTAATATCGTTTCTGGACAACATCACAACTTTATACTATATTTAGAATTGATTTGTTTATTTAACCTAAAATGTTAAATCAGTTTGTTTTGATGAATTTATCAGTGAATTGCTGTTTGCCAAGGTTTCGTCAACATTATTCATTTCTGTATTGTTGTTGAGCAGTTTGCTTTATTAGTTGACCTTGTTCGTATAATACCGTAACTAGGATCTCTATTGATATTCTGTAGGCTAAAGATGAATTAGAAATGTCAAACTTAAAGAAAATCTGTGGCATTCTTTGAATCTGTTCTATCCAGAATTTTGATTTGGTTTTAATGCTTGAATAGAAAAAGAGGCAAATTTTTGAAAAGTATAGATAAATTCAATTGTCTGTTAACGATAAATTATAAAAGAATTCACCTGAATAATTATAGTAACTAATCGATTGTGAAAGTTTTTCTCAGTTTATTTATTTTAATTCAATAAATAAACAACATTCACCCTAAATCGATTTTGTTGTGATGTAAGATATTAAAATTTATTATAATAATTATGATATAATCTTTAAATTCTTTTAGTTAGTTTAAATGGGATCATTATCTAACGTAGTAATCTTCATCTAAACTCTTCAAATAACTGTTTTTTCTTACTTAATTTGGTAATCAGATAGAAACTCAATTTAGGTTCATGCCATAATGTAACATTTTATCATAAATAAATGGTTTTATTACGTCATTGATCGTGTTTAAGTAGATTTTTAAATTGGAGAGTATGATGATGATGATGATGATGCCCATAATGTTATTTATAAGTGAAAAAAATGATGAAAGAGTCCGTTTACGAGAATTATGGAATGTATTCAATTACCATTAAGACTTACTATTAATGAGTTATTTATTTTGTATATATTATTTCATTGAAATTCATTTTTAGCCTTTGTTGTATACTTTTATATAGTATACTTTATTCATTTATTATAATAAGTAATTTTTAATCTTAAAAAACATTCTGTTATGACGAATATGAATCCATAAATGAATATAATACATAAGAAAATTAAGAATATTGTTACTAGAAATTGTTAAGTAGGATAATGACAAGATTTACTGACATTATCAATGTTTCTACTGAGAATGTTTTCATTAACATGCATACATTGTGTTCAAACCCAATTGAATGTACCAGTAAAAAGAAAAGTGTCATCTTAAAACAACCTTTAATAACGTCTGGAACATATTATTAGTCAAATCAACAACATTTTAAGGGTTGATTCTGATAACTAGTATCAAAATATCATTCCTATACACTTCAACTATTTATTTGTTATATTTCTTGGTACTAACAGAGGGATTTTTTAAATCTCTAAACTTAAAACTTCAACAGTTGTCTCCGAAAAATTAATTAATACACCACTCATGTAAAGTTTACTTTGGTTTTCATAAATCATTCACTAAGGTATAATTTCGTGTTTTACTTTCTAATTTCTGAACCAGTGGTTTGTGCTGATGATGTCGTTCAGAAGAACGATGAAAGCTCCACGACCGAACCATCCAACTTAGAGAACAAAACTCCATTAAAACCAGTGGTTTTCTTCTACAAATTAATTCCTTTAGTTGATAGAAGCGTCTAAAATGTTATGATACAGTACTGAGATAAGTTTTACGTTACAAATGAAAATGTTTGTATGACATAGATGTTTAAACTGTCATAAGAAGAAAAGAGCTATGACCAAAAATAGAAACATGAACATACAATTATTTTATTCAATTCCATAAGTTATTCATGACTATGATGATGAACCAGTCGATGCATATTCGTTCTTCTAAGTCTTACTATTCCAAGCAGGTTGATTGATGGGCAATAAGATCTCAGGGAGGTGTTCCACTGACTCGAAAGAAGGCGTGAAAGCGTTAAGATGTTTTTTCAAGCAACCAATGTCTTCAGCTATGCTGCGTTTTTTGTAATTAGCGAGCAAGTCGACGAAGATGCACCCTAAAACTATTTCACTTCACTTTGATCCAAGAATTTATGTCGCCGTTGGTAAGCACTTCAAAGTTCCGAGCTAATACATCAAGAAATACTCTCAAAAACAGTATGTGACCAGCTTTAAGCAGCTGTTCATAGGTTTCCATGTTGCCGGGTTGCCAAAATCACTGCTAATCCAGTTTTGCTTCAATTTCCTCAAGAAGAAGAAACATTTGATAGTGTTAACAATACTATCGATATTGTCACTAATTCTACTGCTCTGGGATTCGTTTTGGTAACTCCATTTCACTGTGGTGATGTGGTGAGTTGAGTTAAACAGATGTACGTACGTGCCTTTTTCTGCGTTGCTTATGGTAGACTAAAGTATTAACCATTATCAGAAGAGGTTTTTATGATTTTAGTAATTTGATAGCGCACTTTTGAGGAGTCTCATACTAGAACGAAACGGCCGTCCAGTGCTTCCACGTTTTCTATGTTGATCTAGCTTCAGTTGATTTATAGATTTATAGTATTAGTTATTATTAGTTCGGAAATAAAGTAATATTACAGCATCAAAAAACCTTTGGACAATCAACTGAATAAATTATATATTAAGTCAGCTAAAAATCACATTTTATAATAATATATCAGGTAAATGCTAATAGTTACTATGTTCATTACCGCCATTATCGTTATAAAGAACGAAATAGAACCAAATGAAAGTCCTTAAATAAATAATAATTGATATAAATTACGGCTTGATAGAGACAACTTATTTAATGACTTCTAAGTTTATTCTTTAGTTTTAAAAGCCACTAATTATATAATGAAATCAAACAGATGTATCAGTATATATTTAACACAATTATTTTGTTACTTTAACGTTAAAACATCATATTACAATTAAGAAGATCAAAGTAAATTGAATCTTTGACATAATCTATACATGTGTAACATTTAAACATAATTTTATTGTAACTACAGAATTAGGACTTGGAAAATATACTGAGGGAATAGCTGTAAAAAGCTATTAGTCTATTAAATTTGTTTTTTTTTTAAAAAAAAAGGAAACAGTAAATGAAGTTGTTGTTCAGCCGTCTTTCCATTAAAAGAACTTAAATAATATGGGAAAAAACGATGTGATGATTTACAATTTTCGGTGAGAACCACATGATTGCTTCTTAACAGTGTTTTGCACATTTGTTAAGTTTTTTTTTGCTGAACAGTTTTCGGTTAGATTAAGTAGTCACGAATTAGTTTTTAATGGAATAAAATCTCTATGAATTATGGTAATATTAGCAACAACTCACATTATTCAGAGAAACTCTTAAAACTATCCAAGATTGACAAGTTTTTTTAAAGTTTAGTTCAAAAAGTCTTTGGATCGTGTAGTCAGAAACGTACGAAGACTCAAAAAGAAAACCAAAATTTCGTAAAAAGTATAATGAGTAAGAACCTGGCAGTTCATGTTTCAAACATTAGTTCATTCATCATATAAGTTGACGATCATTGATGTGATTATGACAAACAAACCTAAATGAACAGAAATTATCCATCTTAGTTGTTTGTATAGAGGCCTGATATTATAAAAATATTGTTGACTACCCATAAATCATTTGTTGATCCAAACTAAAAATGGAATATAAATTTAAATAAAGATGAAATTCATCGATTTTAAACAAAAAATTTAGTTATGAAAATCTGATGAAATTGAAAACTATGGTATTTTGAACATTTTATGTCATTTAAGCCTTCATAAGCTTTGAAATTTCATATAAATAAGACATAATTGAAAGTTTTCTAATGTATTTTGTAACATTTTATGTAGAAAAAGAAACAATTTAGAATTACCTGGATACTCGTTATTCTTATTTTATGTCATAAATAATGTCATAAAACAGATTTAACAAGATTAAATATTTCACTAAACAATATGACATCATTAAGAGTAAACTAGATGGAATTATTTAAACAAATTAAAATATGGTTAAATTAATATTGCTTGACTCATTCAACGTATCATAATATTTACAAAGATGAGGTTAATTTGTCAAGATTTTTTATTAGAATATAAGCGTTCTATCTGAAAAATAATCAGTTGTGGGTTCTTGATTTCGGAGTTGTTTTATTTATATCAGAAGGGGTTTCCGTGGATAATAGTTGAGATGATGAGATAATTGAAGCTAGACCATCATCGAAAACCTAAAAGTACTGGGTGGCCATTTCTTCCTAT